CCCGTGCTTCGGCATCGCTGCCCCTCGAGGGGCCTCGGAGCGTGGGCGAGCGGGGAAGGGAGGCCCGAGCGCGCGCCCCGCGGCGCGAGCGGAGGCCCTCGGCGCGCTGCCGCGGCCGCCGCGCGTGGCCTGGAGGAGAGGAGGAGGAGGAGGAGGAGGAGGAGGAGGAGGAGGAGGAGGAGGAGGAGGAGGAGGAGGAGGAGGAGGAGGGAGGGGGAGGGGGAGGAGGAGGAGGAGGAGGAGCGAGGAGGAGGAGGAGGAGGAGGAGGAGGAGGAGGAGGGGGGAGGAGCAGGAGGAGGAGGAGGAGGAGGAGGAGGAGGAGGAGGAGGAGGAGGAGGGGGAGGAGGAGGAGGAGGAGGAGGAGGAGGGGGAGGACCTCCCAATCCTCCCTTCGCCCCCGCCCTGCCTGCGGGAGCAGGAGGCGGGGGCGGTGGCGCAGATGGGGGTGGAGGGGGGGCCACCACGGCGAGGCTCGAAGGTCTACACACCGCTCACCTCTGATCCTTAGAAGGTTCTTGGATTCTTTTGTGGGGGGCCGAGATCCTTTCATGCCTCACTGTTCTCTCCTGGGCCTCCTCCTCCTGGCCACCAGGGGGCCAGGAGCAACTCGAAACGAGCACAATCAGAAATGAGCACGATCAGAACTGAACGACGTGTATAGCTGTCGGTGTCTGTGGGCTGTTGTTCTCCCCATCTCCGGAGCCTCTGGCCACCGCCCACCGAGACACCCCAACCCAACCCGAAGGCCCCGACTTGCCCTCCATTTCCAGTGGAGGGGGTCGGGGAACAAGGAAACCAAAACATGACTATGAAGCCCGTGCCCCTCCCAACCCGAAATTCGGGTCTTCGGGTTGCGCGTAAGGTCGCGCGGAAGCGCCCTCGTCTCCAAAGTGGCGGTCCGCGCTGGCGGCCCACGTGAGCCACCGCGTAAGGTCGCTGCGTCACCTCGCGCGAGATTCCTTTTCGAGCCATCTACGCCCCTTTTTGACCCCCTCTTGGGCCACCACCTCGCGCAAGACCCCTCGCGTGAGGTCGCTGCGCCACCTCGCGACGCCACCTTGGATCCTCGCTCATCCCTGGAGCCTCTGGGAGGCTCCTCGCCACCGCGGCGGCATCCCCGCCTGGGAGGCGCCTCGCCGTCTCCGGGAGGCTCCTCGCCACCGCGGCGGGATGCCCGCCCCGGAGGCGCCTCGTCGCCGGGGCCGCTCGGCTCTCCGGCGGGGGAGGGGGGCGGCTCCGCGACGCGCGGACGCTTCGGGGGCCTCGCGTGCTGCCGGAAGGCGTCCCGGGCCCCAGGCGTCCCCCAGGCGTCCTCCAACAAGCAGGCCCAGCGGAGCGAGGCAGGTCCGACGGGGTCGTCGGCGCCGACACCGGCGCAAAAGCTGCCCGCGCAGGGTCGCGCGTGGACGCCCTCCTCTCCAATGCAGCGTGCCGCGCCGGCGGCCCGCGTAAGCCGCCGCGTAGGGTCGCTGTGTCACCTCGCGTCAGACCCGTGTTCGATCGTCGCTCCTTCGGCCTCCAGTGCACCCCTCACCCTCACGAAGCCCAGAGGGCCCCAGGGGCTCCAACAAATGGCGCGAAAAGGTGGGGGTCACCCAGGGCCGTGACCCGATCGGGGTCGCCGTGAAGAGGCCAGAGGCTCGAGGTCTTGCTTGATTCGTCATGCTCGGCCTCGGGATGCTGCCCTCGGGCCAGCGGACCGCCAGGAGTCGATCCGGGATGCAGAGTTGGCCACGGTGAGCCCCGAGTTTTCTTCCAGACCCCTCGCGTCGTGAAACATCTACGACGGAAGGTGTCCAGCCCCGAGACAGTAGAACAAACGACGCGCTCAAGATGAAAACCGGTCCCGGGGAAGGGGCCGAGACTTCAGAGGTCCCTCGGGGGTCCAACTGACTCGGCGCACCAAACAGCTAAACAGAATGAGCTTTCGGAGGTCTGCGCGGATTTCTGGGGTCAGCGCTGGACTTCCCGAGCGCGCCAGGGGCGGCGCCGCAGGCGCTGCAAGGGGGTTTAGCGCCGACCCGAGAAAACCGCTCGGGCCTACGAGCGCTCAGACGTATTGTATGCTACTGTTATGTCGGGCCTGTCCCTCTACAGGGGGAATATTCAAAAATAGTCAAAAAGTAGTCTGGGGATTATTCTTTGAGTATTTGTTGACCATTTTGTAATTTTGTTTTGAGTTTTTTATTTTTCGTCGCAAATCCCTTTGTAGGGGGACACGCCCGACCTAATGCTAATGTTGTTCCCCAATCAATGCCTGCACTGTGAGTTCTCAGTGGCCTCGTGCGCAATCGGCCTGCGCTGCCGGAGCTTCGCCCGATGCCCGCCCGTAGCCGTCTCGTGGGCGCCGCGTGTGACGGCTGGCTTTCCAGCGTGAGCACCACATAGAGTAAACCAAATAGTTGGAAGCCAAATAGTTTGACCACATAGAGTAAACCAAATACAGTAAACCAAATATATTAAAACCAATTGCACTACAGCTTGCACCACATAGAGTAAACCAAATAGTTGGAAGCCAATTGTTATTTCTCAGAAAGAGTTGTTTCCCCCACTCCGAGACACGGGTTATCAGCACTCTTCAGAGCATTGCATGTTCGCGTTCCTTCTGCACGATAGTTTCTCGCATGTCTGTCAAGTTCTGCCCTCCGTGCCAAGTCGGTAGCGCCCACTCCCACCCCGCCATCGCTTGTCAAAGCACGATGCGCTGCGACGCGTTGATCTAAGACGTGCGCCTTGTAGCCGTCCCCATCGAACAGCACCACGCGGGCCACACTCGTGCGCCCATGCGCGCGGGCGCGTCAACATCAGTTTCACACGCCATAGCGTAGCCTTCTAAAAAAAATACCGCAACACTGCCAGCCAACAGGTATCAAAAGCCACTGGCCTGTTCAGCAAGATGTTGCTTGACTTCTGCGGGCGCATCCGTTGAAACCTCAAGAACGCAGCAGGGCGTGGCCGTTCTGTCAGGTGAGTCCGTGCGGGCCATGCGCCCGCACGTCGCACATCTTGAACAATCCTCGCGCGTCCACCGCCCATGCAGGCCACAAGCGCGCGTCTCCGCGCGCACGTCGCCGCCAGTGCAACACAGCAGCGTTGCTGACATCGCTTCAACAGTTGAGGTGCTCCGAAACGTCAGGGCACCCAGTGGCTTCTCTGCAGCACTTCTGGCAGAAGTTCTGAATGTCTGCGCGCGCACTTCCTCATCATCCTCACACGCACCACCGTCATCATCATCATCATCATCATCATCATCATCATCATCATCATCATCATAATCATCATCATCATCACCATCATCATCATCATCATCATCGCCAGCGTCAGCACTGTCACCGTCATCATCAGCAGCATCATAATCAGTATCAGCATCAGTGGCATCATCGTCATCATCATCATAATCAGCATCATTACCATCATGACCATCATCAGCATTATCACCATTATCATCATCAGAATCATCATCACAATCGGCTTCATCACCATCACCATCATCGGCGTTATCGTTCCCGCCGTCGTCATCAGCATTATCATGATCGGGGGACGTTGCACCAAGCAACTCGTTTCAGAACTACTTGTAGTAGTTATAGTAGCGATGCCAAGCCATCCTGATATGCATGCGATCTCGCTGGGCAGGCACGTTTCCATTTTCTGACAGAGCCACTGCGGGTTTCAGTACCCGAGTGTTGCCCAAAAGAGCGTTCGTGGCGGACAAGGCTCGGGTCAAGCAAGCAAACAAGCAACACAGTTGTCGACGTTCTTATCATCAGCGCGGCTATCATCAGCATCATCTGCACGAGAAGAGTTCTCGCATCATTGTGCCAGGTGAGTTCTGCCAACAGGTTGCGGGTGGGTGGGTGGGATATTTGTTCGAGCTTTGGGTCTCACGACTGCAATTGCCACTAGTGTATTGCGGGCCAAGCCCACGCGGCCTCAACCGCCCTCCTGTTTCCTGCCGTCTGCGAGTAGGCTTAAGTCGGGCACGTCCCTCGACAGGAGGAATATTCCAAAATAGTGCAAACATAGTTTGGGGAATTTGCCATTTGTCGTCAAAAATCCGCCTGTAGGAGGACATGCCCGATCTAAGAGTAGGCACAGGCTTTGGGTATCTTTCTGAAGACGTCCGAGAACCTCTGGCAGCACCCGAGAATCGCCGAAGGCATCCTTAAAGCCAACAAGATTGGCTGCCGCCAAACACCTCAGAGCATCTTCGGAGACTTGGGGTTCCGAGGGGGGGGGTAGGGTTCAGAGGAGAAACGGGTACCCATACCTCTACCCTTTCCTCGTTTTCCCCCTTTCTGAGCCTCCTGGGAGGCCCTCGTCGCCACCGCTGGATTCGCCTCGAAATCTTGGTCAGACCGCACCCCAGGAGAGGTCTGGGGAGTAGCGGTATGGGTACCTTTTGGTTTCCACAAGGGGCAGAATACCCTGAAATCCCGCGAGATCGTCCGATGACCCGCGGAAGCAGCCGGCGCACACCAGCAAGGCGGGCAGGGCCGTTGTGCGCGCCTTGATCGAGGTTTCCTCGTTGGGCTCGGAGTAGATGGTGTCGGAGAATCGCGCCGCATCGCCGATGCGGCTCGATGCGGAGCTCCAGTTTCTCCACGCCGACGTCGCCGATGCATCGCCGACGTCGACGATGCTTCGCTGGTGCATCACCGATACATCGCCGCGCCGATGTATCGGCGATGCGGCGCGATCCTCCGAACCCACCTACTCTTAAGTCGGGCCTGTCCCTCTACAGGAGTCATAGTCAAACATAGTCAATACAATTCGATTTTGTTTACCATTGTTGAAAGATTGTTCGCATAGTTTCTTTGCTATTTTTAATATTTCGTCCAAAATCCGCCCCCACCCACTCCGACCCCACCTGGGATGATTCGACCCCCAATCCTTCTGCACACGAGCGAGCAAGTCTTTCCCTTGCTCGGGGTTCTTCGGATGCATTTCATTGGCCTGCGCCTGCAGGAGAATGGGCGCAGGAGGAGGAGGAGGGGGATGGGGGAAGAGGACAAGTTGGCCCTCCTCAACCTCCCCGTCCCCTCCCCCTCCTCCTCCTCCTCCTCCTCCTCCTCCTCCTCCTCCTCCTCCTCCTCCTCTGAAACCTAAACTTGAACCTACTCCGACCCCACCTGGGAGGCCTCCAGCCCCGAGGACCCGAAGCTCCGGGCGGGGGCGTGCTGCGGCGCCCTGGTGTTGGCCGCGCAGCTGGCCTCCTGGCTGCTCGGCGCGGCCGTGCTGGAGGAGCCCCGCCGCGGCCTTCCGCTGAAGTCCGGCCTGTCCCTCTACAGGAGGAGCATCCAAAAGCAGTCAACAGAAGGTAGCCTGGGGACGATTCTGGACTGTTATCGAAGGTTGTTTGATATCATTTGAATATTGCGAAGACCTTACGGCCGGTGCCGCCGACCCTGAAGACGACGAAGATGAAAACGAGGGTCGAGGGTGAGGAGGAGCAGGAGGAGCAGGAGGAGGAGGAGGAGAAGGAGGAGGAGGAGGAGGAGGAGGAGGAGGAGGTAGGAGGAGGAGGAGGAGGAGGAGGAGGAGGGGAGGAGGAGGAGGAGGAGAGGAGGAGGAGGAGGAGGGAGGAGAGGAGGAGGAGGAGGAGGAGGAGGAGGAGGAGGAGGAGGAAGGAGGGAGGAGGGGAGGGAGGAGAGGAGGAGGAGGAGGAGGAGGAGGAGGAGGAGGAGGAGGAGGAGGAGGAGGAGGTTATTTGAATGTTTGTTCCTTTCCAGATCCCCCTGTGGGGGGACACGCCCGACTCCAGCCTCGGCCTTCCGCCCGTGCGGCGCCGCGCCTCGCGCAGCCCCGGCAGGCCCGTCCCAAGCGCGCGTGCGGGGGTCAAGAGGCGGGGGTCGCTGCAAGGCAGGAGGGAAAAAAAGCACACAGACTTTTTGTTGGTCGGCGGGTCGAGAGCGGGCCTCTTCCGGTTAAGAGCTGGGCGGGGCGCGCGGAGCACTAATTTGGGAGACAGGGCGCGGGCGGGCGGGGCCTCAGGCGGCCGGAGGTTGCGGAGTACAGGCGGAGCCGAAGAGCTTGCACAGGAAAAGGTACGCCTTGGACAGGAGCCAGGGGCGAAGTCCCGGAGGGAGAGCGGTGGTGAGCACACAGACACAAGTAATCGTCGATTCCCCAGAAAATGTAGGAAAATATAGGAAATGGGGGGGGAAGACGGAAACCGAGAAGATATGGGGAAATATGGGGAATCCTGTTCTTTGTGAGTACTTCTTTGTGTGTCCCAGGGCCCCTTCAGCAAATGGGGGTCAGCCAGAGCGCAGGATCTTGCAGGATCTTGCAGCTCCAGGGTCGCACTGACCGGGGCTTGGGCGCAGGATCCTGCAGGATCTTGCAGGACCTTGCAGGGCCAGGGTCGCATCGGCCCGGGTTTGTGTGCAGGATCCTGCAGGATGCTGAAAGGCCCGACTGACCCGGGTTTGGACTGACCCGGGTCAGCAGATCCCCGACGCGTGCGCAGCGATGTTGGGTGGGGTGCGCCCCGTAGGCTCGCTGGTCGACCAATAACCAAACGACACCACCCCACCTGCGGCCCTCCATGTTGCGCTACGGCCTATCGGGGGCCGTGGCGTATACCATGCCAAAGCCCAGGCCGGCATTCATGGTGCATGCTAAGGCCCGTGGGGCCGTTGGTGGGGTGGTGTCGTTTGTTTCTTGGCCCAGTTAGACCGTAAATCACGGAGGGTTTCGCCCGCTTTGGATTGCGTCCATATCGCCCAGCAGTGGCGCCGAATAGGCACCCAGTAGCGCCGAACAGCGTTCAGATAGCGCCGAATAGCGACTAGCAGGGCCAAATAGCGCCATGTGAGGGAGATGCCTCATGTCCGCCTTGCGCGCTATGAGGCGCCATGTGGGTGGCCAAACGCTTCTGTGAGATACGTTCGAAAGTTCGTGCCGACTCGCATATCTATGACCCTGGCCCCCCCCCCATTCCTCCTGGCCGCTCGCCTCCCCAGCGCGCGTGCGCAGTGACCTTGGGTGGGGCGAGCCCGTAGGTTCGTGACGACTCGCACCTCTATGACCTTGGCCCCCCTATTCTTCCTGGCCGCCGCACTCCAGACAATCCCAGCGTGCGTTCGCAGCGATCTTGGGCGGGGTGAGCTCGTAGGTTCTCGACGACTCGCACCTCTGTGGCCCTCGATGCTCCTGGCCGTCGCCCTCCCGCTGCGCCGCAGTCTCGTCCTGCTTCTCCTGCTCCCCCACTGCCCCCCCTGCTCCCCGCCCTCCTGCCCCTCCTGCCTGCGCTGGTTCTACTCTGTTTCTACTGCTGCCGCTCCGACGCCTGCGAGCGCAGGCGAGTTGCTGCCTGGTGCACCGTCGGTCGTCTTGCCGTCGTTTCGTCGTCGTCGTCGTCGTCGTCGTTTCGTCGTCGTCGTTTCGTCGTCGTCGTCGTCGTCGTCGTCGGTTTCGTCGTCGTCGGTTTCGTCGTCGTCGGTTTCGTCGTCGTCGGTTTCGTCGTCGTCGTCGTCGTCGTCGTCGTCGTCGTCGTCGTCGTCGTCGTCGTCGTCTCTCTCTCTCTCTCTTTGGCCACCGGGGCAAACGTCGCCTCGGGCGCGGTGGGCTTGCCGTGGGGGTTGCCGCGGTGCTGGCCTCGGTTGCCGGGGCGCGGGACGCCGGGCTGGCCGTGGGCTGGCCGTGGTGTCGGCGTCGCCCCCCTGGGGCGCGAAGAGAGCACACGGCGCGGCGACAGACGCTGAACGCCGCTGCCGCTGCTCGCCCCCCCCCCCCCCGCCGCCAGCCCCCTCCCGCGTCCTGAGGGCCCCGCCGGCAGGGCGCTGCTCACGGGGACCAAGTGGCTGGTCGCCAGGGCCGGGGAAGCAGTCGCCGTGCCCCCCCGCTTGCCCTCGCCCTCCCCGTTCTGCTCCTGGTTCTCGTCGCTGGTGCTCGTCTTCCTCGTGCTTTTGCTCGTCCTCCTCGTGCTCGTCATCGTCGTCGTCGTCGTCGTCGTCGTCGTCGTCGTCTGCCGTCCTGCTCCTCTGCCCCCGCTTCGATCTCCTCCCCGTCCTAGAGCTCCTGCCTCGTCCTGCCCGCTCCTCGAGGCCCGCCATGCTGCACCCACCAGCCTGGCCCTCCACTCACAGGAGGACTGGAGGAGGAGGGAGGATGAGATGGGGGTCGAAAGATCTACCCCAAGAGCGTTTGTGTTGGCGTGATCTTGCTGGGGCCCCTTCGCGCTTCCTCTTCTTCTCTTTGCCCTCTTTGTCTCATCTTCATCATCTGTCTCCTCGTTGTGACCTCTATTGGCCTAGTCCTCCTCACTCGCGGAGGGGCATGCTTAAATAGAATCTTGCAGCTTGGGCTTTGCAAATGGGATCCTTTTGTGGAGGGCTCGCAAGTGTGTGTGTGTGTGTAGGAGCGTGCAGGCAGATTCGATGCGGGTCGGGTTTGCGCATGTACACATGTAATCCATCCGGTGGAAAGATCAAACATCTTTGTTGGGGTAAGGGCGTACACATAAAGTTAGGTGTGGTGGGTGGGGGGGGGGGGGCTGAAACGAGTAACACAACAACACATACGCCAGAAATTCACTGCTCAACCAAAAGGCATTCGGAAACATCACCACGCTTTTTCTGATACAAATGTTGGCCAGCGTGACTCTCGAAGAGCGATTGTCTTGCAACCTATGTGGTACATATATATATATATATATCTGTGCTGTCAGCTATGTGGTGAGTGACATCTATGTGTTGCCGTAAATGTGGTGTGAGCTAGGTGGTGTAAGCTAATTATGTGGTGCAACATACGTGGTAGGAGCTAACGTGTTCATCGATGTGGTGTGAGCTGTGTTGTGTGAGCTATGTGGTGCACTAGATGCGGCTCAATCTATGGTTTGCGATCTATGTGGTGCAAGCTGTGCGGTGTAATCCATGATCAGCAACATCTGTGGTGCAACCGATGAGGTGAAGTCTAGGTGGTGTAAGCTATGTGATGCAGTCGGTGTTAAGCAATTCATGTGTGTTGCAACATGTGCTAAGCAATCTATGTGATACAATCTCTGTGGCTCAACCATTATGGTGCAATCTATGCTGTGTGAGCTACGCTGCGCACTTCATGTAAAGCAATACATGTGCTGTAAGCTGGGACGGGCGGCGACGAGGCGGCGACGGTCGGCGACGGGGCGGCGACGGTGACAACATGCCAGCCAGGGAGGCAGCCAGGCCCAAGCGAGGCGGCGACCAGCGGCGACGGGGCGACGACGGCGACAACAGGCGCTGAGGGCCAGCCAAGCCCAGACGAGGCGGCGACGAGCCGCGACGGGGAGGCGACGGCGACAACAAGCTGGCCGAGGGGGCAGCTGGGCCCAGTTCCTCATGAGACAAGTAAGAACTCCTAATTGCAAGCGCTGTTTGGGGAATGTACAAACAATCAAGCAAGCAATGCATTGCAATGCAAAGCAGCGCAAAACAATACAACGCAGTGCAAATCAATCCAAAGCACTGCAGAGCAGCGCAGAGCGATGCCAATCAAACCAGAGCCATGCGTCGCAATGGAAAGCAACGCGAAGAAATGCGAAGCAATGGCAACCAATGCAAATCAGTGCAACGCAATGCAAAACAACGCAATGCAAACCAGTGCAAATCAATGCAAACCAGTGCAAAGCAACGCGAGGAAGGCAATGCGAATCAATTCAACGCACGGTAGCGTAAAGCAATGCAAAGCAATGCAGAGCAACGCAAAGCGATTCGAAGCGATGCGAAGCAATGAGGCGGTGGGCGGCGACGACGCGGCGACGGGGCGGCGACGGCGCGGCCGCACGGCGGCCGATCCGCCATTCAGGCGCAGACGTCGGGCGGCGACGAGGCGGCAACGGCAACCACAAGGCGGCGGACTCGACGCGCAGGACCAGACGACGGGCGCCGACGAGACGGCGACGGGCCAGCGACGGCGATCCCATAGCCGTCAGACCGACGCGAAGACCCAGTCCCTCAGAAGAGAACATGTAAGAACCCCTGAGTGCAAGCACGGCTTGGGGAACATTGTTTCAATACT